GCTCATTTTCCAACTCCTCTAGAGTTAAACAGTTGAGTTTTACCGTTTTCTAATCCATTCTGCCGATCTCCGGGTCTGGCGGTAGCATTTTTAGCTGCAGCTTAGCATCTGATTCGACCATTAGCATCTCACTCAAAAATGACCAAAGAGTTTCGATATTTTTCCTATTACCTAGCTGGGGACTATTTTCAGGCGCTGCGTAATATCATTGCGCCTGCTGCACCCATGGTACGGCAGCAAAATTCCTTGATTATTACGCCGGAATGAGAGTATGGGTCCTAGCCATATCGGCCTAGAAAATCACAACTTTTCATTTTCCGTCGGTCTTAGTACACGATGTAACTACAGAAGAGTCAAGTTTTAAATAGGAAAAATATAGAAACTCTTTGGTCATTTTTGAGCGAGATGCTAACGGTCTAATCAGATTCAATGATCTATGCTAAGCTACAGCTAAAAGTGCTACCGCCAGACCCGGAGATCGGCTGAATGGATTCGAAAACGGTAAAACTCAACTGTTTAACTCTTGAGGAGTTGGAAAATTAACCTATTTTAAAAAATAGTGGCGTGTTCCTTTAAGCCCGATTTGCACGTTAACGAGCTCGCCGACAGATCGGGCTGTGATCGGGGGAAAATCAGCGGGTGATCGGCGCTCGGCAATCTTTATGTGTGAACAACTCAACGATGCATCCAGAGAGGCTCGCTGAAGCGTCGCCGACGCCTCGCAGATGACAAAAAAAAAAAATCTAGCATGCTAAATATCTGGACCGGTCGGCCGACTCAACATCACGTGGTGTCAGGTGTCGTGATGAGCTACAGCTAATGAGAGAGCAAGGCATGGGTTGAGGTCAGCGGAAGAAAAACAGCAGCAGCAACACGGCTTTAAGAAAAGTTTGGACACAAGAAATGGAGCAAATTTTTTCATCAAGCAAACAGGTTGCAGCACTAATTTCTTCCCGATGTTCATTTTAACTTTAATTTTCAACTCCTGTTTCACTTGTTGTTTCGTGTCATTCCCGTTCAACTTCTCGCGTGTGTTTTCGTGACAAAACGTGGTTTGGGGACAGGATAGAGTCGTTGGGTGACAGAGATGTTGTCAGCTCATGTAGTGTGTGACTCCCTGTAGCGAATCATTTACGTAGTGTCGCGTAGTGTGAACACCACAACGACTTCAAGACAGACAATCAAGTCATGTAGTCTGAACAGCACAGCGATCTGTCCTGTAGTGTGAACTTAGCTTAAGGAGGAACTAGACATGGCCCAGGTCTAAAGTCCAAATGTATAGCGTTTGAATGTTCAGGTCCTGCTCTTGTCCTGATGTACTGAAATACTTTGAGATCTTTGCGATCTTTGGATTTGTTGGAGGTCTGACCTTTAAAACAGAGACATGAGTGACTGAACGCCTTCACGTAATCAGACACCAATCACTGCCGCCACACTTATGACGCTCTATTCTTATCAGACCTATTTTTGCTGGACTCAACACACATAATGCTGAAGGTGTTTGCCAAGCTCTTGGGCAAGACACGATGACCTGTGATGAATTCAGCAGAAACATAAACCTTCATTTTCAACACTAGATCTATTGTATTGTCATTTTAAGCCTGGCAAACAAATGCTTTGCTGGTGAAGTGTGCTTGTGCATCTTTCTTTACAATAAATGACACCTGTATTGCTCACTTGTCTTTATCGCTCTACTTAATTGTCAGTTTAATTAATCTCTCTGCATATCTTGTTAGAGACTTTGATACATATTCATTTGGAGAGAACTGATTCTGATTGTTCTCCTGCTAATCCAGAACCACAAAATGTGACCTTTGTGGAAGGAAAGAGTCTCTAGAGAAGAATGTTACTGAAATATTGATATTCTTGTTAATGGAATAATCTCGACTCATTCCTTGGTCCACAGGGAAAGCTCATATTACATCTTAATCATGTGTCATAACCAATCCAATTAATCGCTCATTAAACCACATCATTAAAGGGTTTTACCACATACCCAAGGATTTTTTAATGTCCTGAAATTGAGGTCATCAGATGTTTTGGATTCACACTAGTGTTAATTTTGAAATTTTAATCCCGTGTTAAATGTCTTTGTTAGTTTTTATCATATTTAGTCAACCTTATCCTATTTAGTTTTAGTCAAGTTTTAGTCGACTAACCCCCGGTTTCACAGACATGCATTCCGTTACACCAAATACACAAAATAATGATCTTTAAAAAAGCATCATATGACCCCTTTAAAATATATCAGTGCCTTTGTTTTGTCTCAAAAAGCACTTTTTTTCTAAGCACGTTATAAAAATTACTTAAATGTCCTAATTGAACTATGGCCTAATCCTGGTTTAGTCTAAGCCTTGTCTGTGAATCCGGGCCTAAAAGTCTCAACATTTTAGTCTAGTTTTAGTCAAAGAAAACCTGAAATATTTTACTCTAGTTTTAGTAAATAAAAACTTGATATTTTAGCAATAAGATTATTATTAATTAACCATACAGCAGTATTAATTTTGGCAGCCATTTATAATTGTCTTAGTCTTTATTTAAATTGTTTTTGGTAAAGTTTTTATTTTTTTTAATACATTTTAGTCTCTTCTTTTTTCGTCAACGAAATTGCATGTTGATATAGTCATAGATATTGTTTATTGACCTTATTGTCGTCTCATCTTTGTCTCATCTTAGTCATGGGAAAAAAGCTCATCAACGAACATTTTTCATCATAGTTTTCGTCAACGAAATTAACACAAATTCACACAAGGGAGACAACGCAGAATTTGACATTACCTTTTGATATTCTTGCATTTGGCAGATGCATTTAGCCAAAGCTACTGTCAGAAGTTTTTTTTTCTTTATTTAAAGCCTTTATGTATAATGCATTATAAATGTAGTTTTAATACATTAATTATGCCTTGTAATGCACCTTATAATGCATTTTACAGTCTCATGAATAATTGTAACCACAGTTAATACTTTATAACACTTATCAATTCATTGTTACATTATGCGTTTTAAATTTGGTAATAATTATTTATGACAAGATACAATGTATTACAATGCACATTATAATGCATTGTGTGGATTGTGTGACACTAAATAGGAGTAATTTACATTTTAAAATATATTAAAATAGAAAACTAGAAAAATTACTTTAAACTGTAATAATATTTCAGAATATTATTGTTTTTACTGTATTGATCAAATAGATACAGCCTTGGTGAGCAGAGACTGAATGGTAGTATAGACAAGCTATGCCATTTTTTCTATGCCAATGTTTATGCATTCCCTGGGAATCAATCCCATGACTTTGGTTTTGCTAGAGCCATGGCTTACTGTTTGAGCTGCAGGAAAGCCTTGTTTGACATGATGGTGTAGTCGCCAGTGTGTTGATTATTTATGATATTCCCTGTGAAAAATGACAGTAGCTGTGAGACCAACTAAACTGCATAGGTTTATTGTGTTTTTAGTGTGTGCTGTGAAATGAAAGCACATACAGCGCTGTATGGCACTATACTGGTGGAAGCGAATGGAGGTTTATTCTGAGCAGCGGTGAATTGACCTGTCTGTGTGTTCTCTGCGCCGCACTGAGACGGGCTCCACTGCTGCCAGCGTTTCATCCTACACAACATTTCAAGGCTGCGCATAGAAACCGCATGCTTTATTTTTATAGGTCTCCTGTACATTTTTATGAAGCATTGTGTTATGCATATGAATTTAATGTCTTTGAGTTGCATGAAGCATGGTTATGTTTGGCAACAGTGGGATGCTATGGCTTCATGTCTAATAAATCTAATTCTGATGGTGGCCGAAATATTATTCAGTGTGAATCTTTCTCAATGCATGAATTATCAAGTAGAATCAAAGATCCTGAAGTGCATGCATGCTGCCCATGAACCTGTAGGTCGCACTGAGCTGTGCTGCTTTAATGAGGGTATAAAATAAGGTGAGTTTAATGGTCAGCAGGCAAATAAACAGACCCTATAAAGATTTCATTCAGTTAGAGTACATCAGCTGTAAAGTGCTTTAATTCAATATATCAGACGCTTGTAGCTGTGTGATGAAAAGTGTCCACAGACGACAGTTATGCACATTCACCATGCCGTAACCAGGTGCTATATGACATGTCATTTTTTAGTTCTCAATGAAGCAACAAAGTCACAGTCAATTAGAATATTTTTGACTTTCACTGTGGGCTGACTTTTTAAAAAATAAAATGGATTTTTGTCAGTGTTTGGTCCATATATCACCAAATAATGCCATATTTGCATTTCTGGCATATTTTAATTAAGAACATCGGCCAAGAAGTTTATCTGCTTGGCTGATAAGTGTCAGACTTTTATTTAGACAGCCACTAGGGTTGTGACGGTGAGGAAATTTTCCCACCGGTTAATCGACGAGTGACAACACCGGTAATACCGGTATCACCGTTGGGTGGGGGTGGTGTTAGTTCGTTTGAGTTTCACTCTTTTCTTCGCTTTCAAATGGCTTGTAAAAGTGCCGTGCGCATTTTACTTTCACTTTCAAATTAGCGGCAATTCGGCGTTGATTCAATTCAAGCAACAACAACGTCAAACTCAGAACTTTTATTAACAAAACGAATAAAAAGACACCATATAGGCCTATGCCTAAAAAAATAACAAATTACTTAGGTATATAAAAGGTATATAAAACTGAGCAAACCAAAAATCAGCAAACACCGTGGAACCAAATAAATAAGAAACAGAACGTTTATTAGCAAAACGAATAAGAAAGCTTGGAGGCACGGCATATACACCTTGATGTAAAATAAAATAAATAAAATACACAAAGTTTAAATAAAGTAATCAGCAAACACTGTGGAACCAAATAAATAAGAAACGAATGTTTAAAAAAACTTCCAGTCAATAGGCTTTTCAAAATGTAAAATTGCATTTGCATTTCCTTTCTAAACAATCTTCTGCCATCGTCTTGTCTTTCTCACCTCACTCTTGTCAGTCAGCTCGACTCACTCTCCTCACGTGATACATATACGGTGCCGCGGTAGGCAAATGACGTAACCGGTGTTGCGGCTTAATACCAGTATAACCGAAAACACTGTCTAGCCTAACAGCCACTAGACTTTTATTTTGATATAAATGTGAATGCTAGTTTGTCTAATAAATTATTAGATCTGTTAAAGAAAGTAAATGGTATATGAAATTATAACATTTAATATTAGTAATGGGAAGGCAAATGCTATAGTACCTTCTCATATATATATATCGGCATCAACCATAAAAAAAAAAATCCATGTTTTTGTGCATTGGTTATCATAATGGCTTATAAAAAGACAATCAAAAGATTGATCACTTGATTTTTTTTTTTAGTTGAACAATATCAATTTACAAACTCAAATGGGGAACAATAAAATGCATATGACAAAATATACACTTTTCCATCTTCATCATACATAAATGCCCATGTGTGTGTATATATCTCTACATACAATAACAACAAACAAAACAAACATTCTTTAAACATTTCAGTTACCAGTCTTAAAAGGAAAGAGCCTCATACATGGTTTTATACAATTCCCCAAGGGGTTGATTATCTTTGGATAAGTGTTTTAAAGATTCTAAGTATTTTTTGCATTCATTTTTAAAGCAATTTAAAGAGGGTGTACTGTTATTCCACTTACTTTTGTGTATATGATATTTACCCATTGTAATAATGTTTAACATCAATGACATCTTTTTCGGAAGACCATCTGCATAAACCAAAACCTGAAAAGATTGATCACTTGTTGCTCTTGTTGTGCCTCTATTTAGAGCGCAGTGTAAATTTGTCTTCACACTCACAGCAATTAAATCATTCTACTCTACTCAGGTGTTCATCTGCAGTGTCCAGTTGCATCAGCTCCACTGTCTTCACTCAGACGCTGTATAACAGATATATTTCACTCCTACTAAATCATAATATTGTGCCTGTAGTCCTAAATGACATTTTAAAAAGTCTCTTTGTTTTCATTTAGAATGTGAAGTGTTGTTTATCTGTACGAGTTGAGATTAAGAAGCACGAAAAATTATGCCATTGTTAGACTTTATTCCTTCAGGCACATAATGGGACATTTCTGGCATTACGGATATGATATACTTTGAGCTTAATCTTAATTAAAAGTTTAATATGGCAGAAATTATTTAAGAAAACTAGTTTTTAAGAAAAATAACCATTTTATTTTATAGTACAACAGTAAAATTTCACTACTATTTAAGTTTTAATTTCTTTGTTTACAGATGTTAAAATATGAAACATGTCCATAAAAACTCGAAACACGCTCACTCTGGTGAACTGTAATCCGCACTGCGAGTGTTGTTAAACTCAGCGCAGAAAATGCATTCATGTTCCTCCCGTTTTTTAGCAAAGCATAAGAAGTGAAGCAGAACTATCACAAACAGTTTAGAGATTAAAATAATTGTGAAATAGGTAAAAATAATAAACAGATGTCTAATTTTAAATAAACACTAAAAACCGAGATGACAAATTTACTTCAGTCACAAATGTACTTTTGCAATGGTTAAATAGATGTTCAGCAATATCTTCAAAAGATTTTTGAACTTTGGCACATTTTTTCTCTATATAGAGATGATATGGCAAGGAAATAATTTTGTAAATTTTGTTACGTGGAAATGTTTAAATCTTGTAGTGTTACAGTTAACCCCGCATTTGTTGTGAAATTAATGAACATAGCCTATCTCAAACAGTTTCCGTAACATTTGAATTTTCCGGTGTATGCAATCTCATGCAGAATACAGCGCATTGAAGTGAGCAAGTTTCTTCTCATTAATAATGCTGACCGATCGAGCCTTTTAAAAATGACGTCGCTCTGAGACCCTCACTGTTATTACAACTCGTTCGCGCCTGCGCTTCAAACCACGCAATGCATGTTTTAAATCATGTTTTAAATTCAAAAATCGCACTAAGAATATTGCAATTTCGTAATCAATGTTGGTAGGCTATATCGTGTAGCCCTAGACTGAACTGTGTGAGTGTGTGTCATTGAAATGCAAATTTAGCTGCAGCCCACCTTGTCCCACTCTGCGAGCCACAGTTTGAAAACCCATGCTTAAAGGGACACTGTGGATGGTCATCATCGCCACATCACTGCTCATTAGAAAGTTCATAATACTCAACTTTGTTGCATTGCCAGAGGTCGTTGTTGCTCATGTCACCTCCGACTCTTGTTAAGCTCAATGATGTCCAGTGGCTTTGTCACAATAGATCAGTATCAGTATGAACACGCCTGTAATGAGATGACATGAATGCTGTCAGTACTACCACAGTCTACAATTTACACTTGCCACGCACTAAATGCGACAAACAGTTGACTTTAGTGAGCAAGTGAAATAATACCAAGACTGGCTAACGAACTATGTAACTTTCTGTGAACGTGCAACAATGCATTCATTTGAAAACATGACCCTATTAAGCCTATCCATACATATAAGAGACCCTGGAGCACAAAACCAGTCATAAGGGTAAATTTTTCGAAATTGAGATTTATGCATCATATGAAAGCTGAATAAATAATCTTTCCATTGATGTATGATTTGCTAGGATAGGACAATATTTGGCTGAGATACAACTATTAGAAAATCTGGAATCTGAGGGTGCAAAAAAATCTAAATATTGAGAAAATCATCTTTAAAGTTGTCCAAATGAAGTTCTTAGCAATGCGTATTACTAATCAAAAATTCAGTTTTGATATATTTACAGTAGGAAATTTACAAAATATCTTCATGGAACATGATCTTTACTTAATATCCTAATGATTTTTGGCATTAAAGAAAAATCAATAATTTTGACCCATACAATGTATTTTTGGCTATTGCTACAAATATACCCCAGCGACTTAAGACTGCTTTTGTGCTCCAGGGTCACATATATTACCTTCCAAAAAAGTGGGCATTAAATTGAAGATTAATATCTGGCAGATCAGTCAGAGAAATTAGACATTGTACTCATAAAAACATTGTGCTGTAACTCACACTTTTCTCCATTCCAAAAACATTTTTTTTTAAAATATAAAATTAGGTGTGATTGATCTTGATATATCACAGAAACCTGTGTGAATAATGGGTTAACTGATTCACAGTCCTTTAGCATACTTAAATACACTTATAAATGTCTTGCTATGTTGTTTCCAGTTAGTTTCTAATTCATTTAGTCTTTAATGTAACCGTTAGAAGTCGTTGTGCAAGGGCTGAAGCATTATTGTTATTTTTATTATTAATGTTATTATTTAGCCACAAAGACACACCAAAGCAAATCAGTAAGATAAGCTTCTTCCATTTTGTGAAGTGACATCAATGCTGTTGGCTGTAAAGCAGTGGATGCTGGTTGCTTGAGGAGCCACGCGCTCTCCAGCTCTCTGTAGGGAACAGATGGGCCTGATGATGATGCATCAGCTCATGGCTCACTCGTCACATAAAGGCATATTGTCTGGCAAGTGACCATGCCGTCTTAAGCAACCTGATGACAAACCTGCTGAGAATAATATTAATAAAACCTTCATCCGATGTGTTTGAAAATGCTCTGTCTTCTGCACTAGATAACAAAAACTAAATCTGAAGATAACTGATAACTTTGTGCGGTTATTTCAGCTGTCGTACATATTGTCATATCAAGGGATCGTGTCACAGGAATCAGAAAGGTTCCTATGCTTGTGATTAGGGCTGGGCGATATGGCCAAAAAATTATCACGATAATTGTTTTTTTTTCATATTAGTCGATGTCGATAATTATCACGATAAATGTCAAATCTTTATTTCTTTCAAGTTTAAGGCCAGATTTTTGCTCTAAAGTAAAAGTTGTAGAAACCAGACCATTAATTTTACTTTAAATATCTTAATAGAAAAATTAATTTCTTAGTTTCTGCATGTGATATTGTTTCAAATCAAGAAACTAGTTTGTTTTGCCTGATAATATTAATAATAATATTACTTTTTTGTCTATTAGAAATACACATTTGATAGTAGTAGTAGCTTTAATTAGGATGCAGATGTAAATTTTTGTTCATTATCAAAATCAGTAACATCTTCTTTTAAAAAAAATTGTAGCAACCTCATTTATATATGGTGATTTTTTTTTTAATCACTGGTCTTCCATAGTAGCATACATTTAAATCATGATAAACACAGTTAAAACCACGCATATAGCACACCTCAATACCATGGTAAAATATAACTATATGGTTTTTAGGTATTTGTATGAAAAACAGTATTCTGAAAAAAAAAAAATTAGAATAGGCTAAATGTACATCCTATAGCTTAATCACAAAAAATACTGTAATTATGTTCCATTACTCCTTTAATACATTTAATTCATGTCTGCATTAATATTATAATAAAATTCGATACAAATACCCACATTTCTGACACAATACCACAATGCAGTTAGTGTTACTACAGTAAATCCATGTTAAATGATGACAATTTGTAGATTGAATGACTATTTGAACATTGGTCCGAGCGGATAAACGCTCCGTGTGGCGCACTTCAAATGAGTCACGCTGTTTCGTTCCGCTTTTGGCGCATAAACATTTTATCGAACATTTATCGCACTCTCCATATCGTTTTATCGAGGAAAATTCAATCGCGATAATTATCGTTATCGATTTATCGCACAGCCCTACTTGATTTCAGTGTAATGCAGCTGAAAAACGAGGCAGTAAAAACTATATTTGACCTTTCTCCTTCACCTGGCACTGAGGCTGGTAAATATATTTATATTTTTGCCATATCTAAAATACTTGTGGAAATGTTACAATTTCAAACAGGAACTTGCAATGTCATTTTAAATGTCAAGTTATTAAAAACTGCTGTTTGCTTCTAGCAACACAAACGGCTTGTATTGTGTTTATTTAAATGTAGTTTATACGCTGTGCATCTTTAATTTGTACTGGGGTAGTGCATTGCTTCCGACACATGAAGAGCAGTTGAGGCCTTGAACTCTGGATCACGTCCCAGTCCTGTTAAAAATCCAGTTAAAAAGCCACAGGACAGAAAATGCACACAATTTACCATCATGCATGCATATATTATAACGTTTCTTTGAACGTCAAGATACACCCTCCCAACCATACTGCATTTGAGCACAGGCAAAAACAGAAAGCATTCTGCAGAATACTCTGGGGCTTGAGTAAAGTTACTGAGTGAGGACATTAAAGGGTTAATAGTCACAAAACAATCACAAACACATTGTCCCTCCGTAACATAGCTGTGCCGCATGTGTTTCTATAGTAAGCAGTGTCATGATGTCGGGACGTGCTTACCTATGGTGCTTTTGTTGTGAGCATCGCTCCAGAACTGACATCACTAACCTGCTGTTCATGATCTGCACAAGCTGTTCGATCGTTGCAGTCTTGAGTGATGCAGCACTTCTTTTTGTGACAGAGCAATGCCCTTCAAACTGTTGGTTGCCTCTGCTGTTTTCTACATAAAAGGAGTAATATGCCGAGATTGATTCGTATTTTCTCACACTCGTGCCTTGTCCTTGAGTAGCACAGCTCTGGTGATGTAAACTGTTGCAGAGTTTGGCCACAGTCATGTAGAACATTTCAGTAGTACCTTTCTGTCAGTGCCATACAGGCCTTTTACACATCCATGGAATCTTTCAACTGCATGCGCAAAAGATACTTTAGATTAGGAAAGTGTTTGTTAGATCAGTGGTTCCCAACCTTTTTTCCAGGGGACCCCTATTTTAACGAGAGCTGTCAAACGATTAATCGCGATTAATCGCTATATTATGTAAACAAAAACTTTTATTTTGGATGCAATTAATCGCTGGACAGCACTAATTTTAACATTCACATTTTCAATTTCAAAAGAAATTGAAATAAATAACAATTAAAATTAAATTACAAATCATTTGTTAAAGGGATACTCCACCCCAAAATGAAAATTTTGTCATTAATCACTTACCCCCATGTCCTTCCAAACCCGTAAAAGCTTCGCTCGTCTCCGGAAGATATTTTGGATGAAAACCGGGAGGCTTG